CAAATACTGATAACCCACATGCATTATCTTGCATTTATTATAATTAAAACCATTTATTTGCCCAACTCACACAATATAGTATAAATACCTTTGTAGACCACACACTATGGTAGCACCCCTTCATCTATATCATTGATGTAAATCAAAAAGAGCAAAGGTCCTAAGACTGAGCCCTGAGGTATCCCATTTGTGACATCAATCCAGTTTGACTGAACTCCATTTGTAACAACCCTCCATCCAGCTACTAAATTTTGCTAACTTATTCCCCACTCCCATAGAGATAATTTTTATTTTTTTTACAAGCCTTTTACATGGCACCTTGTCATATGCTTTCTGAAAATATAGATACACCAGTTCCCCACTTTTATCCTCATCTACATAAGTAGTAACCTTTTCAAAAAATGTCAGCCCTTGTGTTGACTCATCCTACTGTTTTCAGAATACAACATAACCCACAAACAAAGGACAGTTTGGTCACTCAAGAATGTTTTTTCTCACCCACTCTTGAGAAAATAATTTAAACCCATCCTTTATTTTTCACAAAATCATCAATACTCCCTCTTAAACGTTTGTAAAGTGCTTGTCTCTATTACTTTCAACAATTATTCATACCATAAGACAATCTGTGTGTCAAGTGATGTCTTTTTTCAATCCTTAAAATTTCTGTCCTCTTGTTTTATTATCTTCAGGATATAGTACAAAAATATCAGGGGAATTTATCCCTTTGTCATATGAACACTTTTAACCATTCTTTCCTAAAATAAAGACCTTAATATACTCCTATATGATAATCCTTCCATCCCTGGAATAATCCTATTAGCCTTCCTGTGCACCCTTTCCAATAAGTTAAAATCTTTTCATAGATAAGGAGACCAAAACTGAACATAGTATTTCAATTGAGACAGATCTTTCTTTTTTTTTTAGATTATTACTTTCATTGACTTAATACAACTATAGTATAAATACATCCTAAAATCATGTTAGCTTTAATACCTTTTCTAGTATTACTATCGATTCAGGGAATTATTTCAATAGCTTGAGTGACTTATCAACCATTACAACATGAGCATTTTCTATAGCCATTCAAGTGGATTCCCTTCCAAATTAAATCTGCGATCTAACTTATGATAACATAAATGCATTACCTTGCACTTATTACAATTAAAGTGAAATTTGATAATTTTATTCTAACACATACATTATGTGAATAACAAAAATTATATACATATATATACGTACACACATAACATAAATCTAAGGGCAACGAGGGACTTATTGGTGCATTTAGACCAGCCCATCAAATAAACTATAGGAAAAAAACAAACAAAGCTAGCCCTTATCATTCAAATAATGAATTATTCCATCAAGCCTTCCCTTAGATTAACTGCTTCCACCAGTTTGAAGGAAGCCAATTCCACAGGTTAACTACCTATTAGAAAAAAACTGTCTTAGCCAAAAACAATGTTTCCCCTGCCAAAATTTATGTTTTTCCCCTAGCACTACCATTCCCACCATCAAGTTTCAAAAAAGATAATGCACTGACTATATCAATTCCCTTGACAACCTTAATCACCTCTAAAATCTTTTTCAACAGGAAACAAATTCAATCCCATGTATGATCATACTCCTTGCAGTAGTAGTAGTACTCATCTAAAAATTTTAACACATTTCAGTATATTTCCTAAGGTAAGGAGCTCACAACTGAACATAAAGCTCCACATGTAACCAAACCAATGACATATATAGTGAAATTATAGCTTATTTAGACTTGAATTCAATATTTCTGAAGATAGAACTTACAATCTTATTTGCTCTTTCACTAGTAACCGCACACTGCTTAGATGGCTTGAAGGACTAATCAACAAAAATCTTTTTCTTCCATGTGAAAGTTATTCTCATCAAAATTATACTTGTAATTCAAATTATGATGACCCACATACATTACTTTGTATTCATTATAATTAAAAACCATCTGCCATTTATTCACCCAACTCACCAAATGATCAAAAATCTTTTCAAAAATTAGCAACATGCTCCTCACACTGAGTCACAGTCAGCAACACAGAAGTCCTTAATATCATCAGCAAATTTAAGTAATTTATTGACCATTCCTTTAGCCATGTCACCGATGTATAAAAAAGCAAAGGTCCTAAAACGGAGCTCTGACGTACCCCACTTCTAAAACAGTGAAAGTAATCCAGTTTGACTATAACTCACCATTTTCTTCCACACAACTAATTTCCTATCTTATGAGCCCGTTTAAAAAGCCTTTTAATAAGTTTTATATGGCACCTTACGAAATGAATTCTGAAAACATGGATACATCAAATCTACAACCTTACTCTCAATGTCATCTACATAACTTGTTGTTCATGTAACATCTTCAAGTTCGATGTTCAGAACTACCAAACTACCAAAATATCAGTAACACGAGATTTGTCCTTACTAAAACCACATTGACAATCCAAAATTTTTAAAAGTATACATTAATCTCACCTCTCTCTAAAACTGTGTGCTTTCTGATTCGTCACTAGCAGTTTTTTACTTCGATTCACCCATATACATTCTTCACTCATCAGTCGATTCAGCTGACGGCATACACAACTCAGTCGTCCTAACGTTTTTACGTCGCAATGGGACAAGATGTTACACAGAACATCATGTGGCAGCAACAGAAATGTAATTACTTGTGTCTCCTTTGTCATATCTTTTAAAACTATTTATAATATCCAATTGAAACACAATTAAACAGATTAATTCGTGAAAAGTTTTCAACACTTTAATACACCCAGACATTATAGTTTATATAGATCTATGAAAACTTTAATTTGTACCAGTTACTTATGGACTGCCATTTCTGTTATCTTAAGACTCAGGTAAATTTATTCTCGAACGCAATATACTCGAATTATATATAAAAATTATTAAAATCAGCTTAGCTTTAAAAATGTGAATTAGCTCATCACTATCAGCCTGAACTTAATTTCTTATTTCATGTACACACACACACACATCTAATGCTTATCGAAACTGCTGTAGGTTTTAAATAATATGCTTGTAGTTATGTAAATAAGTTATACTAAAACTCTGGGTAATATTGCTGAAGTAAAAATAGATATTTCTAGAAATTTGAACATATTACATACGACGAGGGGGGGGGGGTAAACCAATCCAGCATATATTGTTGATATATACATAAATAAGGCTGTAACGAGTAACGAGAAAAGGAAGATGAAAAGCACGAATGAAATATTTTCAAAATATATAATATTGAAAGCCAACTACTTAATGATTAAAAAATTAATAGTTACACCATGTGTTTGTTACCCCTTTGTATCGATATAGAAATTTTCATTTATTCAGGCGTACGTGCAGTTTTCATATTGTTAAGTCCCTGTTCGTTTGTTAATTGCACATATAATTTCTTTCGGATGAAACTTTAGCGATACAAGTCCTTTCTTAAATAAAACTACTTTATTCTTTCCCAATACAACTTTGCAATACAATTAATTTCCACAGTCACTTTAATTTAAATACACGCTAGAATTCACAACGATTCACGGAATTTACTTGAGGTCACTACCGCGCTTGATTCAATTGTCCGTCTTTCTCTCTCTGCCTGTCTGCAATTATCTATCCCGTCACTCGAGCCTTCAGGAACCTTCTAGATACTCATTACGTGTTACCAGCGTCACGTTACTTCCACTGTCGTAACACTGCCCCTTCCTTAGTTTTGTTCGTCCCAAACAATAGCCACTTACATTAAACCAATAGATAATTAACAATAACTTAATTAAATGTACATAATTTACAAACACAAAATTAAAATTCAACAAAGTCTCTTAATTTTACTGGACGTATCTTCTTCCGTACTGGCCTCCGTCTCGTTGGCTTCTGCTTCATGTGGGGTTCATCTGCTTCATCAGGAAATGTCCAATCATCGGTAACAGTCACATCAGTGGTAGTAAATTCATCAAGAGCTTCACCATTTCCATTCTCAAAACTGAATAGAATTTCTTCTTCGACGGTGGCTTTTTCAGGTGACACGTCATCAGCGGCGTCTTTTGTTCCATTATTCACTTCATCCCAACTGAAATGTCCTCGACCGTGATAACGCCAAAGCCTGTTGGCATGCACCACCTTTGGTTTACCTCGCCGACTCCATTTTATTCGGAAAGTCACGTCTGAGAGATGATCCACTATGTCATATAGGCCTTCCCATGGAGATGACAACTTAGGAGACTTCCCTTTGGTCTTCCTGGGATTATACAACCACACCTTGTCTCCTGGTAGAAAGCTGACTTCAGTAGACCTTTTATCATAACATAGCTTCGTGGAATCAGCAGACGTTTTTCAAGTTTGAATGCACTTGATGATGAATATCATCCATCCTTTCAGATAACACTTTCACGAACTATGGCGCATTATCAGGCAACTCTTCGTAAGGTGGGCGTCCTGTTATCAGATCCCGACCAAACATCAACTTTGCTGGAGTGTATCCAGTGAGTTAATACTCTGCTGTCCAATAGGCCATCAACAGTGGAGGGGAGTAAGACATCCCAGTCATCTTGGCGGCTATTACAAAACTTTGCCAATTCCTGTCCCAGTGTCCCAGTGTCCCAGAGTGTTGAATGTTGGTTATTTTGATAGCGATGGTTGTGACAGGTTTAATTGCGCGACTCTGTATAAGTCGTACGTTGTGTTGTACTAGGCTTTAGTAATATTGTTCATGTTATCTTACTCGAAGCTTCCAAGTTTTTCTAGTTGTGTGTGATATTGTTGTCACTAGAGGGCTGGATATTCTTAGATTTTTTGTCGCCTGTTATAAATATATGCAGATACAAAGAGGAAGTTAAGAAAGCAAGTTTAGTTAGAGATAATAAGACAGATCTAGACTGAGTGATTGACAGTTTAGCCGTTACCAGTGATTTCTAAAAAAGTTAGTAAAAAAAGTTAGATAAGAAAACTTTAAGTTAGTGAAAGTGAAGTTAGATTGTGTGATTGTTAGTTTTGTCATAACAGGCAATACTTAAAGTGAGTTTTGTAGTGGTATTGTAATAACAGAGATAAAGGAGAATAATTTGTCTTGTGAAAGTGTGTTCTAAAGTAATTGAACCCACCTGTGTGGACTTTGATGAAAATGAGACAATTATTTAAAACTCAGGCTATGACTGTGGTAACCCACAAGGTAATGTAAGTGAATTTATTACTGATTGCATTGTGAGGAGAGAAGAAAGAATATATCTTGTCAGTTGGGTTCTATAGTAACTGGACCAGCTTCTCTGGATTTTTGACATAAAAGAGAATTATTTAAATCTTTAGATACAACTTTGATAATCAGTTGTGAAATGAATTTTTGTACTTATGTTTTATTTGTTTTGAATATAATATTTTAAAATAAGTAGATTGTGTAATGTCCGTTTTTGTTCGAATTTATTGCCAACAAGTCATAGACACCTACTGTAAGAGAATCCCAGCCACTATACAAAAACCTGACATTTGGTGAGCCAAACAAGAATATACAGTGATAAACGATGGTGAAAGAACGACAGCGGAAACAATTAGACCTATATACACATAACTGTAATGGTGGCGGAAATATTGAAGATTACAATCACGCTATATAACCATGTCAACTGACTTTGATGAGTGGATCGAAAGAGGCAAGCGTGTTGGGCTTAGTGATGGCGAATTACGAGAGTTTGTTAAACAACAACAAGACCTAGAGAGAGAGAGGAGTGTAGGCACAGAAGAGAGGAAGAAAGATTAAAAGAAGAAAAGGAAAGAGAAAGACTAAAAAAAGAAAATGATAGCAAGGAGATGCTGAAAAACAGAGAAAATAAGAGCACAAATTAAGATTGAAAAACTCACCCAACAGAAAGATGAAGGAAACAAGAATAACAATGTGGTCAGGGTCAGCTGAACCAAGCTGCCCAAATTTAATGAACAGAAAGATGACCTGGATGCTTTCGTGGAGAGATATGAAAGATTTGTCCAAATCAATAACTGGGACAAAGGCAACTTGGCAGTCTGTCTAAGCAAACTTTTCACAGAAAAAGCCTACAAGTATATGCAGGCATGACGTCAGAAGATGTCATGGACTATGACAAGCTAAAAGTGGCGTTGGTAAAATGCTATGAACGTACAGAGAAGTCAAATCTGACACTGGAGAACCTGTATTTCAGTTTGTGGCACATCTATAGAGATACTTCTATAGATGGACTGACATGACCAAGTGTGAAAACAGTTTTGAGGGACTGGCAGATCTACTAATCCGTGAACATTTCATGATCACGTGCTCAACTGACATGCCACAATTCCTAAAGGAGAGAGCACCAAAAGACGTAGATGAGATGATCAAGCTGGCAGAACAGTATAACAGGCAAGTCCTAGAATGTCCAGTTAAAGTTGAAACCAGTGGTGGCTGAGTAGAAGCAGAAGTCTACCAAAGGTGATAGGAGATTATCAGATAAATGAGAGAAGAGATGCTATATTTGTTATAAAATAGGACACACTGCAAAGGAACGCAAGTGTATCACCAACAAGCAACAGCAGAAATCTCAACATAAAGCAGCTGGAGCTACTTACAAAGAGAGTGCTGGCAGGAAACAAGAAAAAGTGACTGTCACTATAGATGCTGCTGCCATAACCAGGAAAATCAAGACAACTCGTCAGATTCGCCACAAGAAGGAAGTGCTATCATCATGATTAAACAGTGCATGATTGATGGTCAACTCAAGTTAGTAAATGAGTCAACAGTGCCAGTTGTGATTGAAGCATATGACAAACATCAAGAGGTGCCAATAAACCACAACATGATAATAGGCAAAGGCTATGTCGGGGACAAGAAAGTGAAGGTTATACAAGACACAATGGGTGCAGTAGTCTAGAACCAGTCTAGTATCTAATGACCAGATGACAGGCAGAGTATATCTGTGTGTGCTAACTGAAGTGACAGTGAGAAAGTTTCCCAGAGCAAAAATAAAGATGAATACTCCATACTATGTGGGAGACCTTGAAACCATGTGCACGAAGGCACCAATCAATGATATGGTGATTGGAAATATACCAGGCAGTATAAGTTTGGAGGAACCAGACAGAAGGAAGATGGATGAAGCTTCAACAGTCACCACTAGAGCTCAAGAGCAGAAGAAGTCTCGAAAAGTGACATCCTGAATCTAGGTTCATGGGAGTTGAAGGAAGTGCAGAAGAAAGACCTTTCACTGCAGAAACTTCGGGACAGTTCCCGATAGAAAGTCGAGCACAATACAAAATGAAAAAAGCCTTACAAAACAGAGAACCATAAAGGAGTATTTAACCAGGTCTATTATATGACAAGAAGGTCAAGGATTGACATTTCAAGATCGGACAGAAGGTCTTAGTTCTGCTCCCCACAGCCAACAATAAGCTCACCCAGCAGCGGAAAAGACCTTTTGCAGTACAGGAAATGGGCAACAGAATACACTATAAGGTGAAAGTGGATTTGACGACAAGGTCTACCATACCAATGTGTTGAAGAGGTACTTCAAGATAGAAGAAGACCTTATGGGTGCAGCTTTTGAGGTATAGATGGAAATATCAGGTGTGGATGTCATGGAAGCAGAATCTGAAGATGATGACTTCGTTATAGAAGATAAAGACCTACTAGGCCTAAGACCACTGAGTGAAGATGAGACATAGAATGACATCAACATAAGTGAAGAACTGACTTGCAAGAAGAAGAAAGAGGAACAAGATCTATTGTGCTAGTATACAGATAGATTAGAAAAGACAGACCTTGGAAAACACAACATCAAAATGAAGACAAGGGATCCTGTCAGAGGCTCTATGTAAAGAGAGACTGACACGGGAACTGTAAATGTTGGTGCTGACTATATGAGGAATCTTATTGTGTGAACTGAGAACAGTCTTTGCGTGTAGTGCAGAAAAATATTGTAAATATGTTTCTTGAAGAGTGGCTAATTCTTGGATATACATCACTGTTTAGCGTAAGAGTTATTATTTAGTTCATTTTTTGATCTAATAGTTAATGATTATTTAGCTTTCATAACAATAATGTTAAAGTTAATTATTTTAAAGGT